AAAAACCGCATCAAAATCCGTTGCGTAGTTTTAAAGATCTAAGCATACATACGGACATACAGCGAAAGCGACTTTGTTTTATACTATGTATTGATTGTTCGAAAACTTAGGTAGAAATACCTTTATACTTTGTCATATTATAGGTCCTTACCTAGCCCATATAGCATACTACAATGTGTATTTATTCTTCATCATAACACCACGCCTTTTATCCTCGAAAGGGATGGCAGAGGTGCACATTACGACACTTAATGCCACTATATGTCACACCCACTTTTCACTATTTATGTAATGAGTCCCATGTAATAGGGGGTGAGCTGAGCTGAATGCCATATACTCACACAATTCCAGACTTCGTCCTGCTACTGAGAATATTAAAAAAACTCAGTAATACTTTGGCTGACCCGGGAATCGAGCCCGAGACCCCTTGCCCAGCAGTCACACTTGCGACTACTCGGCTAACGAGGCAAATATATTTATTAAAGAACGTAATTACGACCTTACCTAAATAATTAGGTAAAACGCAGTCATTCGATGATGAAATATTATAAAACGTTCCTTTTCAGGTGCCTATCAATATTTTCTGATAATCATATCTCTCATCGGTTATCAGGAACATACCTGATACATACGTTGACTGATTACTGTTGTTTCAGGATAATATTTAGTTGTCTAGCTAATTAGCATTGTAGAGTTATAAGACCAAATAAATTGATCAAAACCCTTCACATTTTTAAAATAAAAATATAGAAACACGCTTGTCGTTATAACATATAGTATATTACATATATATATATAGATTTTAAGACAATGACGTTTGAATTTCATTATACAATATTATCAACATGATTAGGTATGTACTAATTACCTATTTAAGATAATAATTGGATTATTTTGATGGCTATTTTTATCTTCAACTAGTAAGTGCAGCTGTTCAATAGTTACTTAGCGAAGATTAATATATATATCAGTGATTAGGGAGATTGCTGTATGAAATAGATGTCACTAGCGGCACTCGACGCTTGATGCTCTTGAGAATCAGTCGCGCGTTATATCAAGGTCTTTATTACTCTGTGTTTAGATCGGCATTGGACAAACGTCATTCATAAATTTCTTGTTTACAAATGTAAATGCACATCGCAGTCGAACATGGATCTCTACGATGTGCTCCTACAGTCTGGACTGATAACGGGCGCGATAGTGTTCTATCTCGTATTTATTAAGAAACAAACACCAAATAAGGGGAATTATAAAGAAGTCGGTATGTATTTATATATACTATTTATAAATAATTGGTTATCTAGCTTAGCATTTTCTTTTTGTAATGTATAACTTAAAATGTACCGAAGTACCTGAGGGTTTAAAGTTTCGTATGTTATAGGGGTGTGAAAAAAATATTTCTGTTCGACATATATATACATACTCGCTGACACGGCAAACTTTGTACCGCTTAAAACTGTTTTTCTCACCTTTTTAACCTTTCCTAGACTTTTACGAACATTTTTAGACCAAAATTAGCCAAATCGTTCCAGCCGTTATTGAGTTTTAGCGAGACTAACTAACCGAAATTCATTTTTATTTATATAGATATATATACACTACAGGTACTTCAAGGACTTAAATTCGGTTATAAATCATAGTAGGTAAGGCTACATTGGACATTGCACTAATGAATTCGGCATGCCGACAATTTGTAGGTACGATACGCTTACAAAATCCGTGACATGAGATAATTAGCGAATTAATTTGATTAGATATTATTGTTTGAATGTGTATCTAAACGTTTAGTCTTACCTATTTGAATGAATTGTTTGTTATCAGTCTCTTAGAGTTAGTTACAATCATATTTAAACGTAATTCGTATGGGATTATTATCACTAAAGCGTTAAAATGCATAGATATCTTTTAAATTGACCTACTCTCAAGTTAGTTCACACAACAGTTCATTGTTGTATCCGTTTGTGATTAAAACAATATTGTAAACACGCTTGTATTCATCCAGATAGATACCCACGGTAAAAATATATCTCACACAATGGTTATGAAACATTATTGTGATATGTATAAATAAATCTTTGGCGAACTAATGTCACTTTTAAACACACTATTTATGTTGTTGACGTCGCGTCGACTATTAGCGTAGTTATGTAACTATTATAAAACCTGTCTCAAATAAAGTTTGTGCTTATAGGTGTTGGCAATATTGTATTCGCTCTATCTTTTTTAGTAACATTAGGTACTTAGCGGTAAAATGTATATTTTTCATCATTGTACTTGGGTACTTACTTTATGAATGACTTGTAATGACAGTCACGTGCATTACATGGCTAAGGTCAACATTCATAATTAGTTGACACTATATGCATAGCAATTACAAAATTATACTTAGATACGCATACAACAAAATTGTCTTTAATATTAACGTTGACATTTTTTTTGGCTAAGGTTGGAACTATCATCTGCGGCTCTTGTTCGCTCGGTATGCTGTACGGCGTTGGAAGTCACAATTGAAACCTACCAAGCTGCATGAGGTTCCTTTGCCTGATCTATTCACGGGATGGGACAGCATCGCACTACGGACGAGCGGGCCCGATGGGTCAGCCATACTCCTGAGCATACGCAAGCTATGTGGCCCACAGCCACTGGCCGAAATTGTTATTCACGTTAATTTACCTGATGGAACTGTTTATAAGTTACCGCGTAAGTAAACACTAATATCTATTTAGTTGGGGGCTAGCAACCCCAACAAAAGCTTGGGTTTTTGTCATTTTTACAGGTCTCACACCATACCTAAACCACTCTAAACACAGCATTTTTTTATTTTTTTTATAAGGGGGGAAAATCATCGAATGACTGCTCCCGCCTGGGTGAGGCGGAAGGGAGTGTCAGACTCTTACTGACTAAAAACCACCCCGTTCCTTCTCCTGCACGTCGAGCCGGAGCCCCGG